AGGCCTGAGGAGCCACCGCTGCGCGATCGCGGCCGAGCGCGGGCCGGCAGTTACGGAGCAGGCCGGGGAGCCTCTCGCTGGACAAAAGTGCGTCCGTACAAAGTTCCCAAGTAACGGGGCCACCGCTTGAGAGTCTGGGGCAGAGATACCGGTCCTGGAGAGGGCTGTGGGAGCGACCACGCTCCTCTGCCTGCTGCCAAGGCCGTGTCTCTCTCCTGTGAATCTAAGGTGCCTTGATGAATAACTTAAATGATCCTCCCAACTGGAACATCCTCCCAAATCAACGGGAACCCGGGGATGAAGGCAGCAGATGGAATTACGCCTTGCTGGTCCCCATGCTGGGCTTGGCCGCCTTCCGTAAGTAGTGCCCCGGCCTGTCAGCTGGGGCTGGGGTAGGTAGCTGCACCTCGGAGTCTCACCCATCAGCCAGAGGGGAACATCTGAAGGGATCCATACCCCATCTAGGCATTTCCACTGGTCTACTAATTTATAATGCTATAAACAGTGCTTACTGTTTATAGCATTAAGATAACAGCCATTTTTCACACATGGAATTGAATCTATTTATTAAGCTCCAATTTACAGAGCTCTCTCAGAAGAGTAAGCATATAATGTGCTAGAGAGCCTAAAGGTAACAAGCCAAGGAGCTGCTAATATATATTTATTTACTGGACCCGGAAAGTTCTTAGTGCAGTTCTTTCATTGGAAGCCTCTAGTTTGTTTCCCCATAACTTATTTTCCATCTTTAATCCATGAAGTGTATGTATTAGCAATAAAATACTAGGGGAGATTTTACTTCAAAGGAAACGTCATTTAAAGTGACTTACTGTGAAACATGGACCCACAGAAATACAATTTGTGGGACATATGAATGGGAGTGAAAATCACTGGGGAGGGCAAGAAAGAGAGATTTTACCACCTAATAGCTTATTTTAAGGCATAGTTCATTAGTCATACCCATCAATGTTATATGTGTTGTACTGGTGTCTGAAGTCTCATTTATATATGATAGGTTGGATCTGGACGAGAGAATGTCAAAAAGAAATAGAAAGAGAAAAAAAAGAATACTATAAAAAACATTCATCTTTACAAAAAGACCTGGAAGCCAAATACCGGGATATAATCACAGAAAATCGTCGCACAGTTGCTCACTTGGAGCTGGAGCTCGAAAAGGAACGCAACAGAACCCTGAGTTACCGTGAAGCCCTCGTGTCCCAGAGTCGCAAGCTAGTGGAAGAAAGAAGGGTCCTAGAACAGGAGCAGGAGAAGTTAGAGCGAGAAAAGCAAGTTCTTCTGCACTCAGGAGCGGCAGGTAACTTGTACCAAAGTTGCCTGGCCAAGGAAGAAGAATGGCAAAAGAGAGCAAATATTTTACTGAAAGAATTTGAAGAGAGACTTAAAGAAAGACAGGACATCTACTGCAGTCTTGTTGTACCCAGAAGCCAGAGACTAGAAATAGAGAAAAATCTGCTAGTTAAAGCGGCAACTGATCCTGTTGCTACAGCTCTACATATGGAAAGTGGCTTAAAAGATATTTTCAAACATGACAACTACTGTGGCAATCTGCTGAACAGAAACAAGAGTCAAAACGGAAGACTCATGTGGCTGTATCTGAGATACTGGGAACTAGCTATTGAGCTACAGAAGTTCAAGAGGGCAGAAAAGGCCATATTAGGAAAACGATAAGTAGGGGAAGGAATGGGATTTCTTGTGATCCACTGTGCATAGTAGGGACAATCACAGTTGTAGCCCGAACCTGTCAAATTCTCCTACTGTGTTTCTGCTTCTCCTTGTTGCACTTGTATTTGCATGGGACACGTGCAGTGTTGATGCCTTTCCTTTCACTGTCTAACAACAGATGCTCCAGTGACCTATGCATGCTATTAAACTCTGTGAGTGTGTTTGTATTGCAGACTGCAGTGTAGTATAGAGATATGCCAGCTTCCATAGGTATCAGGAGCAGCAAAACACCTCCAGTTAGAGTGATTTACCTAGTTGATGGTCATACTCCATCAACAGAGAAGTGTAGGGTAGCATATTGTGCTCCTCATCCCTCATCAGGGATGTGGTGTCTCAACATTATCTTTTTTATTATTTTTTGTTTGTTTAAGCAAGGCCAATTCTGAGGCAGATGTTTGGAAGAAAACGTGTTTGATCAAGCTGCTAGTCTCAAATCCTACGTGTGTATATGTACATTTATATAAATACATATATGTGCAAATGTGTGCGTGTATATAAATGTACACATTAGTATTCTGAGGAGGGGAATAGTATGATCATGTTTCAAATTAATCAGGCTTGCATTGTCTTCCAGCTTAATACACAAATAGTGCTTTATGAATTAAACATCCGTAAGATGTTATTGAAAATACTGCATAAAGAAACACATTGATGAAAATCTCATTGGAGCTAGGGATCCATGCTGGAATACTAGAGAGTGTATAAACTCGAGGTTATACTCTCACCATATTGGAGGTATGTTAAGAATACTTACGGGTTTTTCTCAGTCATGGTTTTAGTTGTAACCCAACAGTGTGCCTCCACGATAGACGTCACTGTGCTGCCACCTCCCCATCCCAGCGCACTGGCTTCTACCTGGCTAGCTTGCAGGAACCTCTGTGCGTGACAGCCATTGCGCCTGGCTCTGTTCCTTGGGCAAGTCCTGTTTGTTATTTGCAGATAGGAACCGAAATGCAGCCTGCACTGCTAGACACTGCCTTCCTTCCTCACTCAGTTCTCCCAGAACTGAAGTGTGCTTTTCCACAACTCTTAAATTCTGAGCTTCACTCAGAAGTTCACCACTTCACATACACATGACCGTGAAAGCCTACAGATGTACAAGCTTTGTAAAGCTTTAAGAAAGGAGCCTTTTTAATTTCATTAGCACAATATAATAAACAGATCTAGATTTTTTTTTTTTAAATAAGAATACCCCAGTGCATTTCCATGTTTGAAATCTCTTAAAAGTTTGAGTATTCTGTGGATCCTTGTAGCAGTAGGAACCGTCTTTTTTTTTTTAATGTGCCATGTATTTTGGAGTGTAACTTTTTTTCTTCCTCCTTTTAACTTAGCCTTAGATTACAAAGGCGCAGTGTGTACCCTGTTTACATCTGGTCTTCTCTGCTACTTGACTTTGCTTAGTGTTGGTATATTGTCATTTCTTTAATCTGCAGTTCTTTATTTACTGAGGGCGAGACTTGACAAACACATTTGCTCCAGGCAATCAGTTGCTGCATAGCCCAGAAGCAATCCAGCGGAGTGAATGCCCATCCGAGTTTAACAGACAACTCCAGTAGATGTAGGTTTTTCTCTGGTTATTTCCTTCTGGTTTCATTTCAGTCTGGGCACAGAAGACTGCAGATAAATCTTTTGAAGTAGTGTGTGCAACCTAATACTCAGCAAAAATATTTAAGATGAAACTAAATCCTTAAACAGAATATATGATTCTCAGCTACTCAGTTTTCGAGTTATGATCTTCTCACCTTGGTACTAATTAGACTGTAATATTGATTTATTAATCTCTTATGTACTTATGGTTTGCTTTTGGTTTGTTTTTTTAAATAAATGTGTAGTAGACAGAGAGACCTGGAAAAAAAAAAAGATACTATCACAACTACCAGGAAAGCCAAGTTGTGTCTGGATGCCAAGCATATGTGGCTTGGGAGATGAGAATGCAATTGAGTTACCACTCTCGTGTGACAGCCTGAGCCAAGCTGCTGTAGCTGGCCATATGCACATGCCCTAATTGCCCAGCAGAACAGATTAGTTAGAACAGCTAATTACCCAGTGTGTAGTCCCTCCAGGATGTGGAAGGTGTCTGACCGCGCAGCTGTGGCGCATTTCATGCATACCTACAGATGGTTAAGCAACTCGGCTGACAAACAGCAAGCAGTGAATCAATGCCAATGTATTTAGGACTCATGCCTTGACTTTGAACATATTCATTAGTTCTTAATATTAAAAGATCATACATTTTTATTATTTTTTTAATTTTTTCATAGTTTATCACTGACACCACTCAAAATGCCTAAAGAAATTAAGAGGGTAAAATACTTCTTTTTAGTATAAGTTTGTAAGCTGAAGCATCATATGCTCGATTGTACAGGGTTGGATGCAATGTAATAAATGTTTGATACTCACTTTCACTTCTAAAGAAGTGTCAGTTATTTGTACAACTAATTGTTGAACTGTTGTTCAGGGACACTTGGCAGATCAGCATTAAAACTGAAGAGTTATTTGAGTAGAACTTTTAAAAGTGTATGACTGGTTTAGAAGCACTGGTCCTGTTTCTACCAAAACTCATCTTTGTTGGTATGTTACTTATTTTTTAAACAATCCTCCTTTGTAGATTATGTTGGAATTTTTGTTGTGAGCTTTATCTTGCCCAACAACTGTTGTTCTGGATTGGTTATTTGTTTGGCAGTGCCCATATGTAATGTAGAATGCAAGAATAATGTTTTTTCAGAATATTTAATGATCTTTTTTTGGATATGTAAATGGTCACCAACCTGTTAACAAACAGTAACAATAAAAACCTTTACATATTTCTGCACTGTTCTGTAACTTGGGCAAGGTAGGTGGGAGGAGTGGTATTTGCTACTTTATTCCAACTGTCGTAACAAATTGCACAATTTTAAGGTTTTACAAGTTGGACCATTTTTAAATTGGCATGCAAAAAGTTTTGGTCTTTATGCTGAGAAAAGAATGTGTTGAAAAGTTTTTTCCTTCTTAGGAAAGAACAGCATCATTAAACAGATAAGTGCACCAGCTTTAACTAAAGATGGGTGATTAAAGATGACCATCCCACTGAAAGACTGGGGCAATTATAGAATCATAGCATCATAGAAACGCTTGGTTTGGGTTGGGAGGGACCTTAAAGATCATCCAGTTCAACCCCCCTGCTATTGGCTGGGACACCTCCCACCAGACCAGGTTGCTCAAAGCCCTGTCCAATCTGGCCTTGAACACTGCCAGGGAGGGGGCATCCACAACTTCTCTGGGCAACCTGTGCCAGTGCCTCAGCACCCTCATAGTGAAGAATTTCTTTGTAATATCTGTTCTAAAGCTACCCTCTTTCAGTCTGAAATCATTATCCCTCCCTGCTATCTGTTACAGGGGTATTCTGCCTTCCTCCAGAATCGCTCAGATGTCTCATTTTGCATATCAGCTCATTTTTGTTTCCCTGTGTAGATTTTCTTGTCTTCCTGCTCTCTGTGAAGAACCATAACCCAGCTGCTCTAGGAAAGTGTTCAGACACTCTGGAAGTCCGTGTTCCCTTCATAAAAGATCCTTAACCTCATTGTATTTGACAAAATCCTTTGCATTTACCCATCTCTCATCATCACAGCTAAGCTGTCCCCAGTCCATACCCCTCAGGGCAGTAGCTGTATTCATACAACTTTGTACATTTAGACACAGGCAATAAAAGCAAAAGACAGGTTGTCTTTGGTGTATCTGCTGTGTGACACAGCTGCTGTCCTGAGTGCATGCAACACAGAGAAACATGAAACACACTGGACTTCACAGATGAGTGCTAGAAAAGGGAAATCTCCCTTAGAAAATGCTCAGGGTAGGTGGGTAAAGAGGAGCAGCTTGGAGGGTCTGGCATTCTCATGCTTTTTTTCCCTAAATAGGAGCTGCCAGATGATCATTGACCCAACAACATGTCTTGCTCAAAGGGATGCTGTGCTTTGGAAGTGACAGCTCTGTTCAAGCACCCCGGAAGGGAAGGGTTTTAGGAAGCCACCCTTCTATGCTCTTTAAATCATGCTTTTGAGCACTCCTATGTGAGGATGAGAAAATAGTGACAGTTCCTCTGTGGAGGATGCAAGGCAGAAACACTGGTCAACTGTTCAGTCATTGTGGTAAAATAAAAGGAATTAAAGTTATTGCTATGATAAAAGGGCAAAATTCAAGTTTATTCTATACTTGCAGTCATGGTGCAATTGGATATGAAGGCTTTGCCTGTGTGCATGCCAAGGCCACTTTGTCATTAATTGAGCGCCCAGTCCAGAAGCTCTCCAGCTAATCACTGCATGTCTGAGACAACAGATGCATCTGCAAAGAAGTAACTCACTGAAATGTAGGGTAGCTTGGCAATGAGGAGATCAACTAATCTGCCAGTCACTCCACAACCAAACTACCGGCTGATTCTGCAGGAGCTCTCAGCAGCTGGGGCCACACCAGAGGTTTCCCTAGAGAGGTCCTGTTGCATTTAAGCTGATGGACACTAGCTGTATGTTCAGGTACATTGCTTAACCAGCTGGTGTGAAGGATGCAGTGCACAGCCAGGGATTTCCCCAGGTGGTTCCTGTTGTCAATTAATGAATTGACCAAATCATCCATAATTTTATATAAGCAGTAGAAATTGTTACTGCCTATGCAAGAATGGGCATGTGGGGCTGTCTTTTGCTCGCAGTTAAAATGTGTTTCTTACATGGTTTAAGATAATCAACAAAACCTGACCATGCATACATTGTAGTGGCCACATAGGTCCATAGGCTGGATTTTGAGAATTCACCAGGACAACAATTTGGGGAATCTCACTCCATTTAGCTGAAGGCACCATTGAAGGATGTTTGCAACATTAGCATCAGCAAAAGAACTTAAACTAATGACTGCCAACAGGTGTACTAGGTAATATCAAGGAACACAGAAGTATTTTGATACTGAAATCAGCTTACGTG